CGCCATTTAAGCAATCTAGTCGGGGACGTGATAGAGATCAGTGGGTTAACTGACTGGATCTGAGCAGAACGTAGATGTGGTTGAAGTTGTGGTTGCAGCGGCGGTTTGAGATGCCGGTAGGGGGAGGTGTGAGGGAGGGGGGATACTGAGGGGAAGGGGATGTGGTTGGAGGAATGAATTCTAAAATTGCGCGCCTAATGAAAATTTTGGTGTGAAATTTGAAACTTGGGTGGGGGAAACACACAACATAGACGAAGCGCGTAAAATACTCGTGTGTGAGAAAAAAGAAAGTTGGCAGATCCCGTCTAAAAAAATGTACACGTGTAAGTGATTTTTTCAGTCAATGGTACACCTGGTTTATTAGGAAATATTGCACAGGTAATTGACTTATGGGCCATTAACGTAAAAAACGCAGACGGGTACGACATACAAACCGTGTGTTTTGTGATCTTCTAATGATTAACGCAAGAAAACGCACACAGGCACACATGCTAATCAACGCTCAAAGCCCTCAAAGGATGCTCTTACCGACATTCTACGTTAATACTACAAACTTAAAGTACTACTTGTAATTTTCTCTAATACTACAAACTTAAACTACTTCTCACATGCTTCCATCAGGGCATGCTGGCCAGACGCCGGTGTTCTCCTTCCCGGCCTTGTAGGCGGCATGCCACCGTGCTTAGATCTCCGCCAAGCCCTCCTCACCACAGCATGCGACCTCTTTTTTCTTGTGGCGGCAGGACTCTCTTTTCTTGTCTGCTTTCTGCCTTTTCCGCTCCTTCTGTGCAGCTTTGGATGCCTCTAGATCCACCACCCATTCAGCCATGGCAGCCTCAAAGTCCGCCCATGTAACTGTCTGGCCGCCGACGGCGATGAACTCGGCACAGCGAGATGCCATCGCTTCCTTACCGTGTGTGCGGTCGCGGTCGGCGAGGAACGCGGCACAGCGGGATGCCATCGCTTCCTTACCAGTTACTGTGCGCCACGGTGCCATGGACGACGCCTGGAGAGAGCTCTGGGACGGAGGGGCCGGGCAGCCGTACAGTGCGGTGGTATTCAAGAGCTCAACCACAAACGACAACAGAAATTTGGCTTCCCTTACAATTTTGATCATTCATTCACTACTAGAAATCCACATGTTACCTAGAGTCATATACCCTAGGTGAAATAGGAAAAACCATAGGGAAAGACTTTACCTTGGGCTTGCCCTAGGTAAAGAACCCTATGTATAGTATAGTCGGTAAAGACCCCTTCCCCTAGGGTGTATCCAGCAAGCTCTAGGGAAAATTTCTTTACCTAGAGGCACAAGCCCTAGGGAAAGATTTCCATATGTATGTTGCAATCCACGTGGATAGGCTGTTTACCTATAGCCAGGCCCTAGGGAAAGATTGTGGGGCCCTTTCGTGCCACATCACCATACTTTCCCTAGAGTTACATACTGTAGGGAAACACATTCCCCATATGCAGACATAATTCAAACGTGTAATTTAAATTTGAATTCATAACCAATAATTCAAATAATTCAAAATGGAGCCATAATTATAAAATGAAAATAACATCAAATAATTAGTGTATATATATAGATAGATAGATAGACACCGATCGTCACATGCATACAGTAGATGCCAAGACATCACCAGCCATCACATGTTTGACCAAAAAATAGGCTTGCTAGCTAGAGTTTGCTACATCTAACTGATTAAGCATCTCAATTAGCACGTACACACTGATGTAGGTCAACTAGAGTTTCCTACATTACACAACATGTACTAGCATGTTAACTATACATGCACCAAAATATTACTCCATGCACTGTACATCCAAGAACATCAAGGAACCAACTGACTGCTCAATAGCGATAGGCTTAGTGCACCGGTTCCAGACTGACTGAAAAATCCCCCAAACATCCCTTCATCGTCTACAGCAGGAACACTTGCAGCAGTAACATGTTCCTGAAAAGAAAGATTCACAAATTCTCAAAAGCTGGAACATGACAATAAGAACTTATTAGAGGAACTACATGCAACTCTATGTTCCAATGAAAATTAGTGAGTTACATCAAGTCGACAAAGTCTAAACAGAATTTCCTATTTCCAGTAATTAGAACAAAGGCATGCAAAATCTGGTATAAATTTTGGCAGCATAACAACTATAAACTGGACAATTGGATAAAAAATATATTATGATCCCTCCAACATCCTCACACAGCCCCATTAATCAGCATTAATCCCAAATGATCCAGCACCACACAGTCTAGCATCACACATCACATAAGCATGCATATTGTCACAAGTATGTGAATAGGTATTTCTCAACTTATCCATACACACATAAGCAATGCAACTACACACGCTGCATCATTCTGAATCAGTTCGCTGGTTGTTTTGGTACAAATAAATGAGACCAAAGACTATACTGAAGGAAGGAAAAACATTTACTACCAACAATAGCCATGTGAAACTATTATTTGCACACAGAAACAACAATATGTACTCCTATGTTTGAAGCACCCTATGGTGCATTGCATTCGTGTTTTATCCCAATCAAGAAATTATACTACAAACAGCTGTAACATTCTCTTCTGAAAAGGAAAGAAGGCAAACATGCATTGTTCAATATACCCCTCTTACTAAGTTATTTAACCCTGGAAGGTCACAACAAACAGAACATTACTATTTGTATCATTTGAGATTAGTTTGAGAAATACATACATTAATAGAGCTAGGATTTGTTTCTTGTTGAGCACACAAAGCTGGCGATTCTTCGCTATTTTCTAGAATCTGCAAAACAAGAGCCAAGTTTTAAAAGTAACCCTTATCATGCTTTAAATGTATTAATGTGTGTGTGTGTTTGCTTGAGATGGATGATTACATACTTGGATGGTAGATTGTTGCGGAGATCCAGGAGGAGAAAGCGAACGAAAAGGAGGTGGAACCGCCGATAGTGGTATTTCTCCAATAGGCACTCCTTGCTTAGTTGCCAAAGTCTGCAAAAAAAGAAAATTCACATAGTGGTTACTTTCAAATGCTAGCAAATTAATTGATAAACATGGAATGTATAACCAGCACCTGAAGAAACTTTTGTATCTCATTGCAGTGCTTGTACATCCCAACACCCCATGACAAGACATTGTTGGCATAAGCCTCTGCTTTTCGAGTCTTCTCGGACTCCTTTTGATGCACATCTTCAATTTCTTCAGCTCGACGACGCTTCAAGGCTGCTGAAGATGTACCAGTAGCTCTCACCTCAGAAATGACCTCGATGTCATTGACAATGCCATTAAATAGAGACCATGTACCATGTGGCTTCCCATTAGAGCAATCATAAAGTGCCTTAGAACTAACATCATTTTTCAGGATATCATAGTCCTCTCCATTTAACTCTTTAGCCTTTTCTGTGTAAAGTGCGTACTCAAGAAGAAAACAAAGGTACACAAAGTTTAGGAATTTCAAATAATTGTGTAAATCTCCTATTACACAATTGCACAAGTGGCTAGACAAATTGACATACAAATTGGACAAACAAGTTGAGATGCAAAAACACTAAATTCAGACTAGACTTCATAAGGATGTGTTTGGTTTGAGAAAAGGATATATATTGGCATTATTCCATGGTATTGCTAAAAAACACATACTGTCGGGGATATAGCCCGCGGTATAAACCGCCGGATGTATGACCTGGCTAGAGTTTGGCGATTCACTGGCGACCTACTTGGACATGGCGGTTTACGATTCATTGGTAATCCGGCAGGCAGGTCAGAGGAGCGACAAGACCCAGTGACCCAACGGGCGGTTTATGAAAGGCCAGATCACGCTATGGTGGGCCGGTTTAAGAGGAAAGGAATATTTACCTTACAAAGAGTTAAGACCAGGACTTGTATCCGGTTTGTATTAGAGATAGATTAGTCCTTATCCTAATAGGACTCCACATGTAACCCGCCCCTTCAACATATATAAGGAGGGGCAGGGCTCCCCAAAGAGGGACGAGTTAGAAGGGACAAGCTAGAAGCTACAAGCAAACAGTAATCTAGGGCTAGTCACAATTAGAGGAGAGCCGGTTTACGGCGAATCCCTCATGATGATAATGAGACCTAGCCTCAAACAGCATGTAGGGTTTTTACCGGATGATGTTTCCCGGGGCCCGAAGCTGTCTAAATCCCTGTCTTCTGTTGCGTCTCTCGATCCCGCTCAACCCCTTTCAAGCTACCACATAGATGCGTTGGCCTCGCGACTAAGTCCTGACACTAAGGACATTTGACGTGACAATTCCACGACAGTTGGCGCCCACCGTGGGGCCTGCGCACGGTGGTGTTGAGTTCTTAAAGGGATCTCTTCAGGGATCGAGGAGCTTGTGATTAAACAGATGAAGGTTTGAGTTCAAAGATTAGGGTTGCGTGGTGAAGCGCTGCTACGACCATATGATCCGTCGAATCCGGGTCAATTGCTGTCATTAGAAACCAAGGCAAGATTAATAGCCTCCTCAAGTTTTTAGATCATCAGGCATTGCGGCATGTTACGAGAAGAAGTGATCTGCTATTTTGTCTGATATACTGTGTTAAACCAAGTAGTACTTTTGCTACATCTCACATAAAGCTACGGCCAGGTTGGTTATCTGTGAGTATTGAGGATTGGATTGAAAAAAAAAGGAAAGGGAAGAGTAAGAAGTTTCGACTAGTACTCCACGACAAGGGAAAGTCCCAAGAGACCTGTTGTTTGTTTAGAAGGAAAGTTCAGTTAAACAGCACAACAGCTCCACGATCTGAAGGTGGACTCGGACGTGGATAGCCAGCCATGACCCGGAAACTTGCGCCCGTCCGAGTGGCCGCATCCGCTGGTCTTTGCCGCCGGTTTGAGCATACCCTGCTACCATGAGTCACCGCCGCCGAGTCGCCTGCTGTTTCTGAGTCGTTGTTCGAGCGCTGTTTCCGCCAAGAGCCGTCGGGTCCCCGTCTTCCGCAGTGCTCCTTCGACAAACCGGCTGCCTCGGCTTCGTGCCTCCTTGCGCCACCGACCTCCGTGGTGAGTAACTGCGCCGGCTCTCCATGCACTGGCCCGTCGCGCCGCCTAGTTCCATGGCCGGGTCGCTGCTGCTTCTACTTTAGTGCCCAGCACTGCAAGTCTGCGGCACTTCGGGTCTCTGTCGCCAAGTCGTCACCTCACCATCATCATGGCATGCCCCGGTTCAACATAGCAGAATCAATACTAAGTAATGGATGCATAGTTTGACCAAACCAAAATTTTCTACAACTTGGACGACAGATTGTGCATGTTCTTTCAGTGACTTATGCGGCCAATCAATCAATCTAGTCTTTGAACCATCCTGCTGCTGGTCCGTCCATCAAGGAAGAAGAAATATACTAGCATCATTGGTCCTAATTAAGTGATCAGGACAGATGATTAAGCAGTCCATCAGGCAGTTACCACGATGAACAAGTGCTTTGGTTATCATCAACCAAATATATCATGCAAATCAAGCGAAGTATGATTTTGGCAGCATGCTCCGCTGCGCCACGCGCATAGCTGCGCCCGAGTCTCACCTTCGCTGTAAGCCGGTACCTGGGCCCTGCTGTTGCCGCTGCTGTACTCTGAGCCGCCGTTGTCACCTGGGCCCTGCTGTCACCATTGTTGTCTTACTGGCCTTACTCCAGGCCGTTGGTCTCGCGCCAAATCCAGTGGCTATTTCACTGTGTCGCCAGCATTTCTCTGCTGTAACTGCCTCAAGTCGTTGGTTGAATCCTCAGCTCCTACTCCAAGCGGATCAGCCCAAAGCTATAAAAAAATGGGCGAAAAGGAGGGTGGTGGCTGTTGGTTGTATAAGGTGTGCGTGTACCTACTGCTGCTATAGCATTAAACAAACATCACATCTCCTAAGATAATAACAGAAGAGCAAGCTACTAGCGCTGCATGCTGTGCACCACTTTGGACTTGCTAAAGAAAGGAGGGGATTTTCTCCCCACGTGAAGACCCAAGGCCAAGCCAAAACAAAGTATAGACAAAGCTAGTACCCATTGAGGAATGGGGCAAATATGCATATGATATTGCACGACAAGGCATTTGCAAACCGGAGCAGCATACTGGAAATAAGCAGCTAGAGGAAGTTGAAGCCCACGTACCTTTTTCGTCGGTTTACGGACCAGGACTGAATATTTTAAGGGCAAGCTCGACCAAGAGACGAGGTTTACGTACAGAGCTGTTGCCCTCGACCTAGAGACAAGGTCTACGTACAAAGCTGTCGCCCAAATAAATCAGGACTATTATGTTTATACCGCGGGTATGGAGCATGAGCTGGCAACATTCTGCACCAGCATTTCGTCCGTGCCACAGTACCCAATGAACGGACGTGCACAAGTTGCCGCTTCTGTGGCCTGGTCTACATCACGTCGCCAGGACCGCGCCTACGATTGACTCGCCCATCCACGCGGCTTACCACGTCTACGATTAACTTGCTCGTCCGCGCCGGTTTACAATGCCGTGGCCCTCTCTCGCGACCGCATTGGCTTACAAAGCCACAGACGACTCGCCCGTCCGCTCTTGCGGCCAGTTCACGTGTCCGCGCCAGTTTACAACACGGAGGACAATTTGCTCATCTGCACCGGTTCGCAACGTCGCGGCTGATTCATCTGTCTGCTGCCAGGGCCGACTCGGCCGTGATTGATTTTAGCTTCACCATGGTGATCATCAACTCCACGGTGGATAACCCCTGGCATGATATATCAGGACCCTAAACCGCCATATTGGTGCAAATTTAAAGGCCGTTAGAAAATTTCCGGCTTAAAAAGAAGGATTCCGGTTTAATATCCGGCTCAAGGGGAAGATGTCTCCCACAAAGCTTTGAAGCTCTCAATATCCGGTTCAAGATCCCGGTTCAAGAAGAATTTATCTCTTGCAAAAAGGTTAAAAATTACCAAAGAGGACCTGCTGCCATGATGCGCGGTTCAAACATGGGTATCCTGCCTTATTGGCCTAACATATTATTGATCACATGGGGGCTTCTGCTTCATAAAGCAGGGTCTCTGTCTTTCTCATCATGCGAGGTTACACGGAGTGGTTCTGTTTAAAGCGGCCTCCGGTTTACCCCTTGACATTTGTTTTTTATATATCACTGGGGGCCTTGGTCGTGTCCGAACCAACGAACACCCTTTGATAGGCGACAGCCACCAGATCATTTGGGGACTTGGTCAAGTCTGAACCAGTCACGCCTCTTGGTCGGCCTAAGGCCACAAAATCACTTGGGGGCATGGTCGGGCCCAAACCATTGCCACGCCTCTTGATCTGGCATATATGCCACGAGTCATTTGGGGACCTGGCTGACTTGAATCATTGTCACTCCTATTGGGGGCCTTGATCCTGTCCGACCATGGTAATACCATCTGAACAGCTCAGTATAGCATATTTTTGCAAATGGTTTTTATTATTACTTTTGCTTCCATGTTGTTTTCATGGTTTGTTCGTTTCTTTGCTTTTGTTGGATTTCTCTTATGTCAACAAGCATATTTTTTTTCTGGTTCAACTATCAATTACAAATTGACGGAACACGGTCAAGTCTTAATCTGGAGGCCATCTGCCCGGTTTGATTTTCTTTACCATCCTATTATGGAGTAAACCGGTGTTTATCAACCCGGCTTGACTTTCAATTACAAGTTATCAATACAGGATCAAGTTATAATCCAGAGACTATCAGCCCAGTCTGGTTTGACTACGAGTCGCCAGTATTATATATGGTTAAACCGGTGTTTATCACAACCCGGTACGGTTTATCATCAACCGGCACAGTATGAAAGGAGTTATCATTATTCAAGATTGGGGTTATCACTCTTACTACAAAAAATTGGTAAACCAATGATGTGATTCAATATCACAGGTATGATATATTTCATTGATTGTTCTTAAGTGCAGCTTTGGTTATAAACCTGGGTTATATGTTGGGCATTATGATCCGTCCGGCGGTAAACCGCCATGACACTTTAAACTTGTTGTATGCAGAGACAGGTTGAATAAAGCATGATGATAAATTATCCGGTGTTTATTAAACCGGCCTGGCTTTAAGACGATAAGTCGCCAGTATATGATAGGAAATTATCCGGAGTTTATTAAACCGGCCTGGCTTTGGACTATACGTCGCCAGTATATATTTGGATTGCGCCATTGGAATCATGCGCTTATAAATGATTGGGTTATATTATTCAAATAGCCAAATTTGGCTGAATTTTCATTATGATATTGGATGAATTTTTCATACCGGATTATATTATCTTGAATAACCAACATGGCTGGATTTTTATGGTTATTAGTAACCGGTATTATTGAGTTTTCAAAGTCGCTTTAGTACAACAGTTATTATTTTATCGATGAATATGATTTATTCTGCAATGGAAGGAATAGTCCCGAGTCACTGCGGGCTTACGACCCAACACTTGGGGGCTACATTATTCAAATTGAGATTACATGCAAGTCTCATGTCGCTGCAAGCATGCACCATGACACTTGGGGGCTAATGCAAAGTCATTCTTTGTTCATCTTATTGAAGACCCGACTCATCACATTATAATGAGCCGGCCCTTGGGGGCTACCAATTGCTCCTATCAACAGTTCAAGGTACAAAGCTTTTTATCCATTATATTGCAAGGTCCACTGCTCAGTTGGTAAAGCACAAGACTCTTAACCTTGTGGACATAGATTCAAGTCCCATGATGAGGGTTACATCATATGGTGTTATTTTTATTGAAGTATATATCAAGTCCCAGCTCAATATTATCTTACTGAGCCGACCCTTGGGGGCTACACATCATTGCTCAAATCTACATGATTATACCTACAAAGTCCCTACTCATTATTTGACCCGGCTCTTGGGGGCTACACTGGTTGAAGTTTTTATGAGTATAAGACAATTACAAGTCCCAGGTTGCTGCAAGCATGACAACCCGACACTTGGGGGCTACATAGTATGGAGTATTCAGTTTTTACTAGTCACTGGGATGAACAACATGGATTTCTTCTTAAGTGGCAGTATTTATATTGAAGCAAGTCTTAAGCCATCACTTTGTTCTGTTCAAGACTTGGGGGCTACAGGTATTATATTATTATCGAAGAACTATTATCAAATTCTCTGTTTTGAGCAAACTGGATTAACCCGGCGTCACCAATCATTATGACCCTGTGTCTGTAACCCGGCGTCATCAATAATCATGAACCGGCATTAGTAACAATCATGAACCGGTGTTGGCCACAATCATGACCCGGAATTATCAGTTTTTATAACCAGACAATGGTGGTAATCATAAACCGGCAAGTTTTACATCTTCAAGCCGGCTGGATATCAGTTGAATATTTCAGAGACTAATATTTTTGTCAAGTCAAAGCATTGAAGGCCGATTCAAATGGATTCTTTATTTACAAATATCTTCTGCAAGCAAATTGATTATGAAGATGGTTATTAACTTGGAAGGAAGAAATGACAAGGATTTAAGGATGATCAAGTGCCGGCTTACAAGTATATTTAAACCGGAGCACAACCCGACAAATTTGTTCTTGTTGCAGATCAGTTTAACATGGATGAATCCAAATTAAACTGGGGGGCTAATGTCGGGGATATACCCCGCGGTATAAACCGCCGAATGTATGACCCGGCTAGAGTTTGGCGATTCACTGGCGACCTACTTGGACATGGCGGTTTACGATTCATTGGTAATCCGGCAGGCAGGTCAGAGGAGCGACAAGACCCAGTGACCCAACGGGCGGTTTATGGAAGGCCGGATCACGCTATGGTGGGCCGGTTTAAGAGGAAAGGAATATTTACCTTACAAAGAGTTAAGACCAGGACTTGTATCCGGTTTGTATTAGAGATAGATTAGTCCTTATCCTAATAGGACTCCACATGTAACCCGCCCCTTCAACATATATAAGGAGGGGCAGGGCTCCCCAAAGAGGGACGAGTTAGAAGGGACAAGCTAGAAGCTACAAGCAAACAGTAATCTAGGGCTAGTCACAATTAGAGGAGAGCCGGTTTACGGCGAATCCCTCATGATGATAATGAGACCTAGCCTCAAACAGCATGTAGGGTTTTTACCGGATGATGTTTCCCGGGGCCCGAAGCTGTCTAAATCCCTGTCTTCTGTTGCGTCTCTCGATCCCGCTCAACCCCTTTCAAGCTACCACATAGATGCGTTGGCCTCGCGACTAAGTCCTGACACTAAGGACATCTGACGTGACAATTCCACGACACATACCAAACATTTAGTTGCTTCTGGTGTGTTGAGAATTAAAGGTTTGCTCTTGTCCAATCCTCTATGTGTATGCACCCAAGCCTGAATCTGGTTAACATCTTCGCCGGTTTGTTCGGACTGCATTACACAAGATTCAAGACATGTAAGATATTTATAATTCTTCATATGATAAGTGATAATAAAGGAAACTACTAAGTTTAGTTGATAACCATTTTTTGACTTATAGTAGTCATCGAGTTGGAACCACCCTTGTGAGGCTTGAACTTTGAGCTGCAACGATTGGCACGGTATTTCTTTGATTTTGCAATCCACTCTTCACTGCACCACTCATCAACTACAACAACCCAAGCTTCTTTTCCTAACCAACCTTGTCTTTGCACCAAATACTGAGCTCTATCCAAATAGTATTGCCTAGTAAGCTTGTCATTCATGTTAGTGTTCTCAGTTTTTCGAAAATGATCAATTATGGCTTGGATTCTTGCATAGTAAAATATACTTGGCAAAAGTGCCTTGCAACATCTTCGAACATGTTGCTTTGCCTTCTCTGAGTATGCATCTTCATACTTGTACCTTAGCTGCAATGAGAATTTATAGATGGTTTAATATAAATAAGAGCAAATTACCTTGTTCAACAAAAGAGAGCAATTTAAATAGTTAATACCCAAAAATCATATTCAATTTTGTCTGCAACAAAATGACCATTCGTGTCCTTCACCGCTTGATAATGCTCCCACTCAGTTGCAACCACCTTCGTACCATCATAATCCAGAATACCGGGATGGTTACTTTTCAGAAGGCATGTCAATACACTTGATGGTCTTCTGCCCTTTTGAACGACAGGAATGTCCTTCCAATGCCTACAAAGAAGGAAGTTGTAAATACAAAAAACAAGTATTAGAAAAGGAAAACATATTGCAGAACAAGAAAGCACTTATACTAAATAATAAGACTTACGTCTTGCCAATAGGTTGAATGATTGGACGATCTTCATTATTTGGAATAGCAGGAGGAAGATCTGAAACTCCTCTTATGTACCCATCATAAGTGCCATCAGCAGCAGTAGTGTTTCGAGCAGCATGCGCTGGTTTGATCGCTACAGCAAGTCGAGATGCTTTTATTCCAATTGTCATCCTGTAATGTGTGATTCTTGAAACAAATAAGATAAAGATAGCAAAGAACAGTTTACGATCTGAAACTCCTCTTATGTACCCATCATAAGTGCCATCAGCAGCAGTAGTGTTTCGAGCAGCATGCGCTAGTTTGATCGCTACAGCAAGTCGAGATGCTTTTATTCCAATTGTCATCCTGTAATGTGTGATTCTTGAAACAAATAAGATAAAGATAGCAAAGAACAGTTTACAACCAACGAGACAATCACGATAAACATAACGATAGCAAATAGATAAGTGTTTCTTGCCAAGTCTTCAACTACCCAAATTACAAACAACGATAATAAATAGAAAATGGGCTAGAAATCATCATCATCTTCTTCAGTTTCCTCAATGATCACTTCATCATAGTCTTCATCCTCGATAACTTGTTCCTGAATCCTTTCACCACCCAAATCATGTCCGTTGCTAATATGTGATAATTCGGTTGGATCAACCACCTCATATGAACCACGTACTGTTAAGTTGTCAAGTTGTGATCCTACTTGTACAATGAAATCATTGGCATCTAAACTATTCTCTTGGAACACATCTGCATTAGTGGGTGTTGTTGTTGTGTAGTCATCATCTGTGGGAGTTTCTAGACTGCCGAGAGGTGGTACTCTGTAAGCAACTTGCCAATCAAGAAGACTTGCAACCGAAGTGCAAGCATATGGAACATAATAGACTAAGTTCACTTGGCTGGCAATAGCAAAACATGAGGTTTGGGTGAACTCATGGAGTGGGTGAACTCATGCATCTATTTTCAGGAGTGGCATTTTCAAACCAGCTAAGATACACTTGCACTCATACAAGCTTGATGGCATTTTATTGCCTTGTGGGAGTGTATCTTGCCAAAGTTTCAGTAAACTACTTATGCAGTCCCCTGACAAATTGTATTGTGACTTAATTCCCATCAAGTGTGTAACAGTAGCAAAGCGCGAGGTTTGGGTGCACTCATGGAGTGGGTCTCTAACAGCTGACAACATGGCATAAAAAGCTTTGGCATCTGGTGCTGGCTCCTCGTCTACATTATCGACATGCATTGCATCCCCAAAGTCACACAACATGTCCTCTAAGCAATCAGTGTTGACAGACTCCACTCTATCTACATGAACATGATGCTCCCCATGTGCAGTCCATCTAAAGTAGTTGCGCATGAAACCCCAATGACAAAGATGAGAGGTCATCAATTGTTTTGTTCTTCTACTACCATTGCGACATTTTGAGCAAGGACAAGAAACTCCAAACTTGGCACTACGGACACCCTCAAAAACATGGTTCACAAAAGCATCTGTATTGCGTATCCACTCATCAGAATGCCTTCCATTATCCTTCCAGCCACTATACATCCAGCTACGTTGAGCATCCAAAGACATGGTTTGGTTTTGTACTTAAATCTGAAATAAAAATGAATTGCTACGATCACGAGTCGCATCCCAACAAAAAATGAATGCATCATACACACTAAAATAGAAAAGCACTCATCACCAACAAAAACTAACCCCACATTCCCACATCATACAAGTGAACAATGCATTAATCAACATTGTTTTCATGGAAAGAAGAAATCATAATACCTACTTGATTTAGCAATGCATTTCTTCTCTGTTGATTCTCTACCACGAGCAGGGAACTTTTCTTCAAGCAAACAACACCCGACACTTGTTAGTTTCTGAAAAAATGTAGAAAACCAATGAAGAATATTAGAGGACTTCCATTTATTCATAACATAAAACAAAGACTGGGGTGGAAAAGCCCAACAATTGCGGCTACTAGCTTTCATATGGATAACTAAACAACAATGGTAAAACACACACGCAATTTTGTGTAGATAACTACAGCAATCGAAAAAATGCAGTAATCTGACCACTGTTAACATGAGCATATATAGTAATCAATGAAGCTATTGTTTCTGTCATTCGTGTAATTACAGTAGCTATGAACAAATTTAACAAATAAACTACATGAAACATTTCCTGTTCACTGTGTTTAGTGTCTGCATTCTGACCACAATTTACATGGTTGAATGGTTCATTCATGTGTTCGTGCATCTCCATATCAATTAGTTCTTCTATTTCTTCTTTTGCTAGAAATTTCTTTTATTCGTAGGACCTTTCATACACCTTTTAACCAAGATGTTTAAACTGAAAACCCCACCTACTGGAGAAGATACTGAACATCGTCCACATGTACTGAATAGCGCACCACCTACTGCTTCCTTCAGATGCTAAAACCAAAACAACAGTTTCAGAATTTTGCTAGACATACACAAGTACAACTATCTAAGCCAGCAATCAAACATCTTTCTAAACTAGAGGGGAAGAGAGATAGAGACAACCTTTTGGACCGAAGTAGCTGCGTACAACAGAGCAGACCGGGTGCTCGTCCAATCAGTGGGGGCAGCACCGTCACCACATCCAAAGGGCTGCCAGTCAGCAGATTTAAGGGCGTCGAGCAGACCGGGTGCTCGTCCAATCAGCGGGGGCAGCACCGTCACCACATCCAAAGGGCTACCAGTCAGCAGAGTTAAGGGCATTGCGGATGCGGTCACCACGGAAGCACGACTCTGTCACCTCGGCCGGCGTGGCCATGGCCGCCATGCCCGTCGCGAATGTCACCGATCCAGTACAGGGGGAAGAAGGGGCGCGACGGAGGGGGGCGGGCCGGGGCGCAGCGGAGCATGGCGGCACGGGGCGAAGTAGGTCCCGGCGGCACGGGGTGGAGCAGGTCGCGGCGGTGCGGGGCGGGCGGGGATAGAAGAGGGGAATTTTTTAGTCTGGCAGCGCTTGGGGTATGGGTGAAGCGTGAAGGAGGGACCTAGCCAAATAAATTCCTCTACGCACCCTTTTTCCCTTCTTTTTTTCACTGACTAGTGGGCCCAACTTATGCGAGGGGAAAAACTTGGCATGCTGTGACAATAAAGGAGCGCAGGAGGCAACCTACGTGGCCACATCGAGGGCATCTCTTCGGTCTTTTTTGGCTTCGATGGTACGTACGTGGCACCACCCTAGGGAAAGTTTAGTTTCTAATTTTTTTTGGCTGGAAACACATCTTTCCCTAGAGTGTCCTATTCATTTCTTTTCTATCCCTTGAGTTAGCTAATGAGCTCTAGGTAAAGAGGTTGGCTCTAGGTAAAATGTGGATTTCTAGTAGTGATTATCGCACACGGTTCATCTTCGTCGCTTCCGGAAACAGTGTGGGCTGAGCCTATTGTGTGTTGCGTTATGATTGGCCGGAACCACAGCCACGCGGATCGCGTGTGTGCACCGTTGGATGCACCGCAATCGAACGACAATCCATGTCCCTCACATCACACCAGTGCACCTGGAGCTGGATTGGATTTATATGCGCTAAATGCCTAGAAAATGCACATAATCCCCTAAATATGGTAAATGAGCCCGGAAAAATGCCAAATTTGAACACGGTGATTTGCAGGGTGTATGTTCGTCGTAGAAAAAAACTCCAGGGCAAAGAACATAGAAAATATGGATTCCCCTTCAATCATGAGGATTTCCCTTTCGAAAGCATGGAACTTCCTCGGTGATGGTTCGGTTTATGAAGGGCGTGCATGACAACATAAGCCAAACCTTCTCAAATTTTTACCCAGGCATGATGAGGTCATACCATGGCACCATGCCAGGCGGCATGTTTTTTAAGCATTTATTTCATTTTTTCTATAGTTGAAAACCTAACAAACAAACATTTATGGTTGACTATTGCCACACATTTCATCGAAATATCTATCCATTCCTTGTAAAAGGCATGAGAATTTACTAAATGGCATGAGCATGGTTTTCTAGGCCGTTCTTGTGGACCCTTTCATGCATCAATTGTTTGAACTTGAATTATGTGCATTAATGCCTAGGAAATGCACATAATCCCCTAAATATGGCAAATGAACCCGGAAAAGTGCCAAATTTGAACACGGTGATTTACAGGTTGTATGCTCATCATAGAAAAAAACTCGTGGACAAAGGACAAATGAAATTTGGATCTCCTTCAATCGTGGTGATTTCCCCCTCGAAACCATGAAACTTCCTCGGTGATGGTTCGATTTATGAAAGGCGTGCATCACGACATAAGGAAAACATTCTCCAATTTTTACCAAGGCATGGTGAGTCCATACCATGGCACCACGCCAGGCGTCAAGTTTTCCAACCATGTGTTTCATTTTTTTGTATAGTTGTTAACCGAGTAAAAGACACATTTATGGTTGACTATTGCCACACATTTCCTTGAAATATCTGCCCATTCCTTGTAAAAGGCATGAGATGTGCTAAATAACACGAGCATGGTTTTCCAGACCATTCTTGTGCACCTTTTGATGCACCGATTGTTCGAATTTGAATTATGTCCATTAATGCCTAGAAAATGCACATAGTCCCCTAAATATGGTAAATGAGCCCGAGAAAATGTCAATTTTGAACATGTTGCATTTGAGGCGGTATGTTGATCGTTGAAAAAAAAACTGAATGACAAACTCGTACGGAAATTAGGATTCCCGTTCAATCTTGGGGATTTTCCCTCTCGAAAGCATGGAACTTCCTCAGTGATGGTTCGATTTATGAAGGGCGTGCATGATGACATAAGCCAAACCGTCTCAAATTTTTACCAGGGCATGGTGAGGTCATACCATGGCACCATGCCAGGCGTCATGTTTTTTAAGCATTTATTTCATTTTTTCTATAATTGAAAACCCAACAAACAGACATTTGTGGTTGACTATTGCCACACATTTCATCGAAATATATGTCCATTCCTTGTAAAAGCATGAGAATTTACTAAATGGAACAAGCATGGGTTTCTAGGCCGTTCTTGTGGACCCTTTCATGCATCGATTGTTTGAACTTGAATTATGCGCATTAATGCCTAGGAAATGCACATAATCCCCTAAATATGGCAAATGAATCTGGAAAAGTGCCAAATTTGAACATAGTGATTTGCAGGTTTTATGCTCATCATAGAAAAAAACTCATGGA